GGAGTTCCTTGGAGTTTTGCGGGGGAGATTGGAGGGAGGGGGAGGAGGTGGGAGGATGGACGAAGGGACGGAGGGACGGATGAGGAGGAGGAGAAGAAGGATTGAGGGGAAGGAGGAGGAGGAGGAGGAGGAGGGAGGAGGGAGGAGGAGGAGGAGGAAGGCACGGTGGATCTGTGCAAAAGTCTGGCCCCTGGAGGCTAGGTCGCTATCCAGATCCAATGCGCATCGGCCTTTTGGCGCCCCTTCCCAGAAAGCTCAAGACGCAAGCAAAAGATATGGATAAACATCGTGCCTGGCAAATTCGGCGGCGCGCCGGGTTCGAGGGCCGAGCTGTTCTTGCGTGTTCGTCGGCTCTCGGCGGGACTCTGGCCTCGGGATGCGTTCCAGCGGCTGCGCCTCGGCAGGAGCGGCGGGGACCCCGGGATCGCCCTGAAGAGACGCCAGAGAGCTGAGTTATGACTCGATGGCGGAGGACGAGGGCCAACTATCCGATTGTGTCTCTGCTGTTTTTCTAACGCGCAACTGCCAGATGTGATGCAAACGGCGACGGCCGTCTTGCCAGCGTGTCGGGCCCCCGGAAGCCCCTCTCTCCGCCCCCCCCCTTCCCTCCGACAGGAGCCGCAACTGCCCGCCGAGAGCTCTGGGGACCACGTCGTGGATCGGGGTCCGTCTGACCCGGGTCAATCCAGACCCGGGTCAATCGGGCCTTGCAGACTCCTGCAAGGTCCTGCAGGATCCTGCGCCCACGCCCGGGTCCATGCGAAGGATCCTGCAAGATCCTGCAGGATCCTGCGCCGAAGCCCGGGTCAGTGCGCCCCTGGCCCTGCAGGGTCCTGCAAGATCAGGCGCTCTGGCTGACCCCCCTTTGCATTGACCCCCGTCTCGAGGCTCCCGAGTGGAAGAGAAAAGCACGCCGCCGGAGATGATCGTGGGCAGCCGGGCGTGCTTCCACTGCCGTGCCCCCAAACCCCCGACGTAATATGTTTTTTCCTTACGTCGACCCCCAAAGGTCCCGACCCTTTCCCCATGACAGGTTTTGCCTCCTGAGTCGTTTTATGACGCTCCCGAGGCCCGGTAAGGGCCCCTGGAGGCCGAAAATTAGGAAAAACCTTCCGTCCTGACTTTTGCCATTACCCGAGGGGGTCTGGATCTGCGTCTCCTCTCGACCCGTCCGTCGCGTCTCGCGCCCTCGCCGCTGGGCCTCCCGACCCGGCCAACGAGCCACGCGAGGGCGGGCCCTCCACGAGGACGACGAGATCTGCACGTGTACACCGTGCCCTGTCCCGGCAGGGGCCTGGCCAGGCTGGCCAGCCCTGGGCATCCCATGCGGAGGTCTCGTCGCCCTACGACGTTCAGGAGGGAACAAAAACACACACAGGCACAAGTATAATCGTCGACCCCCAGGAAAATATGCGAAAATATGGGAAGTGGGGGGGAAGACGAGAGTCCAACAAATATGGAAAAATGTAGGGGAATCATTTTTTTTGTGTATTTCTCTGTGTGTCCCAGGGCGCCTTTGGACGTGCCATCGCTCGGACGTCCGTTCCCCGTGGCTCTGTCGGAGTCGTGCGCGTTGTTGCCTGTCTCGCAGCAGGGCGATCCAAGAGGCTCCTCGCTGGTCCTGGCCGAAGAGAGCACCCGTCCGAGCAGGGCCCAGGCAAGAGGGCTGCCCGTTTCACCCCCTCCCCTCTCCTCCTCCCCCTCCCTTCTCCTTCGTTGTCGCCACGGGGCTCGCTTGCGCTGGTAAAAAAAAAGTGCACTCGTGGCCCGAGGGAGGTCGTGGACCCTCTCCGCCAGCCAGAGCACTCCGAGGGCCTCCGAGGGCGGTGGCACACCGGCCCGCGACGGGGGCTCCCTGCGGGCCCACGCCACGGCTCGGGAGCCAGCTCGACCAACAGGTCGTGATCACGGCAGGGCGGTGGGAGGAGGGTAGAGTACGAGACCTATGTTGCATCACAGCAGCAATTCGACCCCTGACTTTCGTCCTGGGTTCGGTTTGGTGAAGGGATGAACCTCGTGGTCCTTGCGTGGGAGAAAAATATCACTTCCCTAACCTGGGGCCCCTGGGGCCTCCATGGTGCCCTGGGGCCCAAAATTAGTGACGTGATGGTTTTCGGGCCTCGGATCGAGGGGCAACGATAGGGGGGGGGACTGGCTCAGGGAGGGGCAACACCGACCTGGAAGCGGCGATGCGTCGTCGATAGACAGGCCCCCGGGGAGCGAATCCACACGCTCCCGGGATGGGTGGGCCATGCGGTCCCTCTCGGCGATGAATTGGCGGCCAGGGGTCGATGCAGACCCCCCGAGCCCATCCCCCCGAGCACTGCCCCCGGGAGGAGAAGGGAGGCGGGCGGACTCAGCCCTGAAGACGCCTCGTCGGACGCGTCCGCGGAGGCCCGTCCACTGGGCGTGGAGATCACCAGTCGTTCGCCGCCGCCGCCAGGGCGCCGTGCGCGACGGTCGAGTCGAAGCGGTGGGGGCAGTGGCGGCAGGTGTAGCCGCAGCACTTCCGCCCCCTCTGGAGGAGCAGCAGAAGGGCGGCATGAACAGAAGCTGTCGGAGGTCCGCGCGGATTCCAGTGACCTGCGCTGGGCCCCCCTGGAGGCGCCTCCGGTCCCGCCCCTGGCGCCAAGACAACACCCGCGCGGACCTCTAAACGTTTCAGTAGGAGCTCGACCGCAAGAAACCTTCCACAAGAAGCCCAACCCTGAAACCCCAGGACGTCCATTGAGTTTTGGCGTGGGCATGTCACGCTTTACATCGCAAAACCATCGAAACCCAAGCAACCCAGGGCACGCTGGAAGCAAGCAGGGTGTTCCTTGGCATGGGTTTCCACTGTAACGTTCTTGCGCCACGTGCTGGAGCCATACGTTGACCATGTGGAGGCCGCACGCAGGATAAGCGTACAGAGAAGCCTGGCCCGCACGGCAAAGGAAGGGCAGACCGCTGCGGAGACCCCTGCCCACGCGCGTATCCAGCGCTCGCCCAAACTGGCCGCGTCATGTGCGCCAGGCTTCCCGGCAGGTTCGCGCCGCGTCGATGTGGCGGCCGCCCCAACGCAGGCAAGCATCACATGGTGAACGCCGCCAGGGGCCCAGAATCTGACGGCATCTTACGATCCATTGGAAGACCCTGTTCGTTCGCAGCGGCCTGGGCTGAGACCCCTCGCCTGCGCGCGCCGCGCGCCAGGGAGGGAGGCCCAACGCAGACTCCAAACATCTGCGCGGACCTCCGAAACCTCGATGTTTGTGTTTGTGTAACAGGAAGCTGGAAACATTTTCTCGTCGGCGGCGAGGCAGAGGCGGTACGCTCCAGCGTGTGGCCGTTCGGGGCAACCGAATGGATAATTGGCCGGGAAGCTGAACACACACGTGGCTGCATGCACATGTGGGACAGGCGGAAGCTGCGCGCTGGATACACTTGCGGACAGTCTAGCCTACCACGGTCTCAGAAGGACCGAGCTTGACGAGGAGAAGGAGGAGGAGGAGGAGGAGGAGGAGGAGGAGGAGGAGGAGGAGGAGACGACGTAACCAAGAAGGTCCGTCCGACCGCCAACCTCGACCTCGGTCGACGCGAACGCATCGACAGAGGGAGAGCGGGTCCCAGCTGGGTGGCGCTTGGGTTCATTTTCGGCCTCCCGAAGGGCGTCGCAACCCGTTGCCACTTCCGCCACCAGGAGGGCCCGCGCAAAAAATGGCGCTCGCAGCAGACCAGATGTGAGGAGATTCGCCTCGCGAACGAGGGCAAAAAAAAGAGGGTGGAAGGACAGAGCCTGTCATTGCATGACAGGCCCCACCCCCCTAAAGAATGAGCCGAGAGGCGCAGGGCACTGCGGGAGAGTCATCGACCGCAACATGCCAACGCCTCTGGTGCCTCTGTCAATCCCACATCCAACCCATGCCCGTCCTGCCCCAGCCCCTCCGAGAGATTGAGAGTGCACGCGGCGCTGTGCGAGAGAGCCCTCGATCGCACAGCAAGCTAGGTTATGAATGTGACCCCCACCCCTGATATTCACACCGGCCCAACACGAATAAAGAAGAGGGCACGTGCTTATCTTTCGAGTGCCAACTCTGCGGCACCTCGAATGTCGGTGGCCTGCTGCAATGTCATAGTTTGCGCCCTCGGCGCTTTATGGTACATCTGGAAGGCAAGTGCTGTCGCCTTAAGGCACTCGGCTCGACTGAGCTCGGCGCCTTCGATCTGATAATCGCTCTCTTCCCCGAGGCCTAGGAGAGTGAGCGGGCTGGCTGGAAAGTGCCTGCGTGCCCATGCTGGGTGGCAGGCGCAATGATAATATAATCTTGGGCAGTTCAAATAGTGCGATATCGCATCTGGGGCAGTGCACCCCCAGACGCAGCTGGTTGGGGGGTGCCCGATATGGAGTCTGTGGGTGGTCGTCCACGCGCCACACAGCGTTTTGAAAATGCTCCACTGCCAGGACGGCTTGAGGGTCGCAAGGCAAGTTTTGCATGCAGCCCACCTCCCAACGACCGACCTCAGCCCCCCAGGAATCTCCACTTGCCAAGCGAGCAGCCTCTTGCCAAGAGTGGTGTGAAAGGAATCGGGAAAGGCAAATGGGCGGAGCGTGCGTGCAAATATCCTCTGCGGCTGAGGGCGAAGGGCTTCCTGTTCCGCACGTGCGGTGTGCTCGCGCGCTGCTCGAAATGCATCTCGCCACCCAGCAGCATTAGGGAAGCGAGGAGGCGGCAACCTTGAACGTTCTAGAAATTGGGCGATTGAAAATGGTCGCCGCCAGCACGGTGCCGAGAACTTTCCTGCAATAATGCGAACGATGGTAGCATTGTCCTGCGCATGCTGCTTCAGGCTAGACAACGCTCTCTGCCAAACATGATTCAGTGTGCGAAATGATGCACGCCATGCACTAGCCCAGCCAAGCAGCTGGACAGAGGACGGGGCAATGGCTAAAAACGATGGGAGGGCATTCAGATCGGCGAGGCTGAGGCTGTTCGGCGGGAGCCTGAGCAGCTTGTGCAATGCCTGATGCTCTAGCTTACGAATCATGGCGGGGATCGGAAAGAGCTGGGCAAGATACGACAGGGTCGAGAGGGCAGTCGTGTTGTACAACATTGACAGAACAGACGGCGCAGCCCCTGAGTGTGGTAGCGCAACTGTACGCGTCCACCATTTCTCCGCTGCTGGGGACCAAATCATACTGAGAATTGCCTCGGGACCCATTTCGACCCCAAGATAAGTCGTGTGGCCAGCGATTTTAAAGTTGGCCCATTCAGGAATCAACCGACGGAGCTCACTTCGGACCGCGTCCTGGATTTCAGGCGTGCATTCGGTCCAAAGGGGGACCAGGACGCATTTGGCTCCTTGAAGCCTGAGGCACGCAAAACGCTCGACGTCCCGAAAAACTTTGGCCACAGGGACCAGGTCCTGAAGGCGAGGCATCACCATCCCCACGTCGTCCGCACACCCGCCCAAAGAGCCCTTGTGGTGCCTCGCCCTCGGGAGCTGCGTGGCAGCATGAAGGCATCTAAGGATCGGATCCATTGCCAATGCCCATAGCGAGCCAGACAAGGGGCAGCCCTGGAGAACTCCAGAGCAAAGATGAAATAAAAAGACGATCTGATTTTGGATCCGAGCGAAGCCTCTAGGGAGGAAGTAGAGGGCACGAATGAAGTGGAGGAAGCCTGTCGGGAGCCCAGCCCTACTCAGAATCTCGAACAGCCACTGATGGCCGAGGGACGGGAAGGCCGCCTCCACATCGTAGGCGGCGAAGATCGGAAGGTCCTGGGCAGCCTCTGGGTTGATGCTCGCCTTTCGGGCCTCGGCATCCAGCGTGACGATATTCGACAGGAAGTTACGGCCTGGGATGAAACCTTGTTGGGACTCATGGGCGCTCTGTTGGGCAACCTGACGGATCTGAAAGTTAGCAGCAGATGCCATTATCTTTGTGTCCGTGTTCCTGAGGCTAAGAGGACGGACCTTTGCAGGTGACCGTATACATCCTTGGGCATCTTCGGGCTCCGAACCTTTAGGGAGAAACGCGAAGAGGCTGTCGTTGAGCTCCATGGGGACTGCGTGGCCTCCAAACAGATAAGTCATGAGATTGTGTAGCACTGTTATTTGTTCTGGGCGAGCTTTCCATGCTGTGTACGAAAGCTGGTCGGGTCCAGGGGCCGAACGTCGAGCACATCTGAGAGCACGTCCTAAATCACCTTCTGTTGGAAGTCTAAGAGGTAGAAGGGGACGCGGTGGGGCAACTCGATCAAGCTACTCCTGAAGGGGCTCCTCCTGGACTAGTTTCGCACCGAAGATGGGCTTCCAGTGGGAGGTCAGGGCGATGGCGATCTTTTCGGGGTCACGGGCGACTGGTGAGTGCTGAAGGCTCTCGGGTTTTATCCCCGCAAGAACGAGACGACGGGTCTTGGGGGCCCACAATGACGCTCGTCGCTTATGCATCCGTGCCGCTCGTCTCTCATCCTCGATCACCGCTCCGTCCCCCTTGGATGCCCTGCTTTCGGCAAGCCTGGCCTCCCTCATCTGGTAGTCGTAGTTGATGGCACGCATCAAGGCGCCGAACTCCTGCCGCTCGCCGAGCTCGACGCAGCCGTTGGAGACGGTCAGGAAGCGCTCGCCGTCGGCCGTGGTGGCCATCAGCTTGTAGGCGGTGCCAACATCGTTGCGCCAGACACATCGTGAGATAGCTCGGAGCGTGATAAGGCGCCCCCCCTTGGCACGAGGGTCCTTGGCGGAAATCGGCATGCGCTGCAACTCATTGCGGACTTGGCGTGCCGCCTCAGACATGAAGTCCTTCATGCATCTCCACTGGTAGACCGCAGGAAATCGATGTAGTTGTGCAGCATCGAGAAGCTGACCGAGAATTTCACCATAGCGCGGATCTCGAAGGACGTGCTCTGGTATGCCTGTCTGTTCACTCTGGCGGGCTCGATCCCTAAGATGCAGGGTGATCGGCGTGTGGTCGCTGAGCCTGGAGTCCGAGATGGCGGCAGCATCAATATCCACCTCCGCGATCACCTCAACGTCGAGCATGTAGTACGCTGGGGTGGCAATGAAGAACCTATCCAGTGTAGCCGCCGTGGACGTATCTCTGCAGTAATGTGTAGGGCAGTCCGTGGAGATCTCCGTAACCATCGCAAAGAGTCTTTCCCAGAACGCTTGCAAAGGTTGAGTGCCCCGAGCCGTCACAGCAGGCAGCGTTCCTGGCGTGAATGTCTGAGAAACAGGATCGGTGTAGCTACGTGTAGGACCTGACTTGACATTGAAATCTCCAGCAGCCACAAACGCTCTAGTAACAGGGTTCTCAATATTCCATTGAACCATGTCCTTCCATGTGTGCGCAATCTTGGTCTGGGCAATGATGTCCAACTCGAAGTTGTGTACGTTCATGATCTTCATCGTGAAGTTGTCGGCGGCGTTGTGTATTGTGAGAAGGGCCACCCTTCCCGCGGCCAATATCTGATGGTCAAAGAACACCTGAGGGTCCTCCTGGTCACGATCTGCCATTGGCACCAAGAATGCTGTGCCTCCCGCCTTCTGCGAGAGGTGATTGTAGAAGATCTTGTAAGGGTATGGATACGTAGCGAGGGCCGCCTGCAATTTAGGTAGTGTTCCACGGCATTCCTGCAATAAGATAACCGCTTTCTTACGCATGAACGAGACAAGTTTGTTCATCTTGGCTTTGCGGCGCCTTGGACGATAGCAAATCAAACTCCTGGCATTCCACGATATGATGGTACCATTGCGCATTGACGGTGATGTTGACCAGGGTGACCACCTTCTGCTAAATAGACCACGAAGATGTGTCCACGCTCGCGAATGCCTGTCCAAATGCAGCCACCAGAGGTTGTTTGTCAATCTTGAATCGTGCGAGGATTGGCATGTCCCAGCGTAGCTTGGATGGTTCATCAGGGCCCTTGACTTCGACAACGACGAGCGGCACTGCATCAATGGTGACAATGCCCTTGCTTCTCTGGGCGCCGATGTGGTGATCGTGGTATGCGTCCTGAATGATGCGCTGCAAACGCTTGGTCTGAAGTTCGAGTCTGACCTGCTTGGGGCTCTTGTCTCCGCTGACATAGATGGGCGTGTTGACCCCACCGGTGTCAAACCCGCTGAAGGTGCGGAAGCCAGTTGACGTCTTGAGGGCACGAGAGAGAGCGAGGGCTCGCCCATGTGCTGCTGCTCCACCTTGAACTTGCATATGAAATCGCCGCTGAGGTACATCACCGTGAAGAATAAGCTGGTCCACTGGAACACCCGACGCCTGAATCCACTCCGCGAGCGCTGCTTTGATGGCAGCTGGTGCAATCGCCCTGGGGGCGCCGATGCTGAATACTGTGGGGTCCGGGACGCGGTCCCATGTGGCGAGCTTCTGAACATCGAAGGGGACGGCAGCCTCCGCCATTGCCAGTGTCTGTTCCATTGCGCTGATCTGCTGCCGCATCTTGGCCTGATCTGCTTCCACTTTGTCAGCTCTGGCCTGGAGCTCATGGATGCCTTTGTCATGTACTTCGAGGTGAGCGGCGTTTTGTTTGCTGACTGCCAAGAATTCTGCCACCTGTGCGCTGAAGGCTTGCTGCTGCTTTGCAATGAGGGAATTCGCCGTCGCCATGAGTTGTTCCGTCGCCGATGCAATCTGTTCTTTACCCAGTGTCGCCAGCCTTTGCTCAAGACTAGCCAGATCACCATGAGCAGGAGGGGGGTCATCTTCAGCGCGTGGGGTAGGAAGTCCACCGACAGGCGTGCCTGCTGCAGGTAGTTCACCGTCAGGAAATGTAGGCATGAGCTCCATGTCGCGTAGCACTTGTTGCGCAGCTCGCGGTGAAAGTGGGTAGTGCTGCGGCTCATGAGTTCGAGCAGGTCCCCCACTAGCTCCAGCACATCGCATAGAACCCGCGGCCGCTTGCCAAGGGTCTCGTTCAGCAACCGTGTCCTTGCGTGCTGCCGAAGGTCCAGATCTCCGAGCGACGCGTGCACCTGAACCGTTCTCTCTATCTTCCCGATCGTCCCTGCGAGGTATTCGGTCCTGTTCCCGATCCTTGTCGTCAGCCCCGCGGTCGTCTCCCCGATGTTCGCGGCGGTCTCGGCGTCGACGATGGCGGCGCTCAGCACTGTTGTCGGGGCCGCTGCGACTCTTGGAGTCACTGTTATCCCGTCGTCGATCACGGGTAGCTTGATGACGTCGGCGAGGTCCACGGGACGAGGAAGTACTGGAACTGGATTCTCCCATGTCTTCAGCTGCGAGGGAACTGCTGCCAGTCTGCTGCCACTGAGCGGGTCCAATTTTATGCCAGCGAGCCGTGAGGTCGAGGGTACCACCTGCCGCACGTACAGGAGCGGGGCGAGTGAGCACGCCACCGTCTGCTGCTGCACCACAAGAAAGAGCACGGCGTGCCCGATGCGCCGCAGCGCTGAATATGGAATGCCCGCGGGCGCGGCCGCGCGGGACTTAGATATGGAGGGGCGAGGGCTGGCGCAGGGCCCGTGCAGTGGCGCCGAGAGCTGATCGAAGCACTGTGGGAGCCTACCCCGCGAAGGCAATGAAATGGACACCATTTTGGCCTTGAGCCAAAATGGCTACGGCAGAGGAGGAGGAGGAGGAGGAGGAGGAGGGGGAGAAGCATGAGGAGGAGGGAGGAGGAGGAAGGAGGAGAGAGAGGAGGAGGAGAAGGAAGGAGAAGGAGGAGGCGGAGGAAGAGAAGGGGAGGATGAGGAGGACGAGGAGGAGGAGGAGGAAGGAGAGGGGAGGAGGAGGAGAGGAGAGGAAGAAGAGGAGGAGGAGGAGAAAGGAGGAGAGGAGAAGCAGGAGGAGAGGAGGAGGAGGAGGAGGAGGAGGAGGAGGGGGATGAGGCAGGAGGAGGAGAGGAGGAGGAGGAGGAGGAGGAGGAGGGAAGGAGGAGGAGGAGGAGGAGGAGGAGGAGAGGAGGAGGAGGAGGAGGAGGGAGGACAGGAGGAGGAGGGGGAGGAGGAGGAGGAGAGAGACACCTGGCCACATGTGTGTCCAGCTCTCGCCTGGACTGGCCGAACGGCCTCTTCAGGCGGGAACAGGTGCTGTATACGGAGCCGCCTCCTCCGGGCCTCGCGGCACCTAATTATCCCCGCCCTGGGGGCTGGGCCGGTGGCGCCAACGGACCTTGTGACCCACTGGAGGCCGCAGAACCGCCGCCCCACACCCGCACCCGCGGCCCAAAGGGACATGGACATGGAGGAGGAGGAGGAGGAAAAGGGGGGGAGGAGGAAAAGAGGAGGAGGACGAGGAGGAGGAGGAGAAGGAGGGAGGGAGGGAAGGAGGGAGGGCGGTAGAGAGGGATGGAGGAGGAGGACGAGGAAGATGAGGAGAAGGAGGAGGGAGGAGGGAGGAGGGAGGGGGGTAGAGGGAAGCGGGAAGAGGGAGGATCCAGAAGGGAGGAGGCAGGAGGGAGGAGGCAGGAAGGAGGCTGGTGGCGCCAAGGAACCCTGACCATCTGTGGGCCAACCCTGGGATGTACGACGGGGGTGCGTCCATCCTCGATCCGGGGTGCGTCCGAATACCCCCGTTTGGGCCTTTGGGGTGTATCCCAGGGTGGCCCCCCGTCTGCGAGCGGCCAAACTTTCCGGGCCGAGCTCGGGGAGCGGGGGAGAAAAATCGCCTGCGATTCCGAGCATGCGATGTCCTGAATATTTCAATATGGGGCCCCCAGTCACGACCCTTTCCCAAGGGCCGTTTCGTCCTCAGCCGTTTTGCTGACGGCCCCGGGGCCCGGCGAGGCGCCAGACAAACCTCCCGTCCTGCTTCTCTTTTCTCCGCGACGCGAGCATCTGTCATGTCTGGGTGTTTTCCCCCGCGGTCCTCAGGAAGGCCGAGGTGAACACCGAGAGGCCCGTCGAGGGGTCCTGTCGGCCACGCGCAAGAGTGACCCTATAGGCAACGGTGACCTTCGGTGCGCGCCCTCCGGCGAGGCCACACCCGAGAGCGCAGGGCGCTGCCGTCGCGCCGCGCTCAGTCATCCACGGACCCTCCGCACCAGACCCAGGCATGCGACGACCTGATTTTTTTCATTGCGCGGTCCACGGTTCCCCGGGGCCCGTTTTTCCTCTTGGATCGTTGCTTGACGGTCCCAGGGAGTCCGGCGAAGGCCCCGGAGGCCGAAAACGAGGAAACAACGAGAACATGCCTGGGAAGGTCACGCTCGCGAGAGGTCACTCTTACACGCTAGTCGGAAGAAGCTCGTGGAAACATGGAATGGAAGGGAAGATGGAGCAGGTTGGATCCGGGCCCACCCAAATAATAGTTACCCGGGGACGTACCCAACCCATTGTATACATGAGGCGGATCTACATCGGACCGCTCAATACAAAAACAAGCACTGAAGGATCCGCCGAGCTCTTGAACGCTTGGCCAGAGAACGTTGGGCCAAAACCAAATGTTTCACATTCGCGGCATCACTCTTAAGAGTCAAACCGTTGGAAGGAAGGCGACCACGAGAGGGCGTGGAAACATACGGATAAAAAACAAGGGGGAGCTGGAAACATGTTTCGTGGGAGTACCAGCGCATCGCGCCAGGTTCTCATCGCAGAACAGCGCCATGCGCGCTATGACAGAACAGCGCCCTGCGCTAAGCGCTGCAAGTGCCCGAGTGCGCAACGTGCACTACAGATCGCACCCACCATGGATGGCGAGGTCTCGGGCTGAACTGCGTGTGACGTCACTCTGATGGACCACATAGGAAACCACGAACGTGACGACAGTTTCGCAGATATCACCCCCGCCCAGGGACGGCGCGGTCTCGTGGCGGTCCCCGTGGGACACACATCCGCTGGACCTCCAGGAGCCCGCGAAAGTTGCGACAGTTTCGCACGTCGCAGCCCCCGGGGACGGCGAGGTCTCATGGCCCCCGTGGGACACCCCCTTCGCTGGGCGCTGGGCCTCCCAGAAGACCACGACATTTGCGGCTGTTTCGCAGATCGGAGCCCCCTGGGGACGGCGAGGTCTCATGGTGGTCCCTGGGGGACACCCCTTCCACCGGATCTCCCAGGAGCCACGAAACTGGCGACAGCTTCGCACATCGCCGCCCCCCAGGCGACGGCGAGGTTTCATGGTGGTCCATGTGGGAAACCCTTCCACTGGACCGCACATAAACCCACAAAAGCGGTAACAATTTCGCAAGTCCCAAAGCCCCAGGGGGCGGCGAGCTCTCGCGGTGGTCCGCCTAGGACGTCATTCCGGTGGCCCTCCAAGAAACCAATGAAAATGGCGACAGCTCCGCAGATCGCAGCCCCCCAAGGTGCAGCGAGGTCTCGCGGTGATCCGCGTATGACATGCCTCCGCCGGGCTTCCCAGAGCCAGCGAAAGTGGCAACGGTTTCGCAGATCGCAGCCCCCCCCAAGGGGCGGCGAGGCCTCGTGGTGATCCGCTTTTGACGTCACTCCGCACGGCCTCCCAGAAGCCCACGCAAACTGGCGACAGCTTCGCAGATCACAACCCCCCAGGGAGCGACGAGGTCTCGTGGTGGTCCGCGTATGACGTCACTCCGCTGGCCCTTCCACAAGACCGCGAAAGTGGCAACAATTTTGCAGATCGCAGCCCCCCAGAGGACGGCGAGGTCTCGCAGTGATCCGCGCATGACGTTGCTCCGCTGGCCCTCTTAGAAGCCAGCGAACAAACATAAACAAAGTTTCACAGACCGCTGCCCGCCAGGGGCGGCGAAATCTCGTGGTGATCCGCGCATGACGTCACTCCGCTGGCCCTGACAAAACAAAAAACAGTGGAAGGCGAGGTCACGAGGCAGGGAGGAGGACGAAGAAAACGAAGAGTAGGAGAATGGAAGGGGAGGTGGAAGGGGAGGAGGAGTACGAGGAGGAGAAGGATTATGTGGCAGGCCCAAAGAGGCAGAACAAAACCGTGGCGCTCAACAAAGCTCGGGCCAACGTGCCCTGGCCAACGGCCAAAGTGGCCAACGGCCAACACCAAGGGCACACGCGCAAAAAGGGGGAATCACGGACACAAGCTGGGACCTGACTTCTGGCTTCTTTCCCTGACTAACTCCCAATTGCGCCAGAAACGCTGCGCCTTAGGGAGGAAATCGAAAAGAAAAAGCAAACCAAGGGCCGCACTACACCCCGCGCCAAACTGGCGCATGGGAGTTCGGGATCGGCGCCCAAGGGACAATACAGGGAGCGTTGCCCAGCGCCCACACCCCCACAAGCACGGCAACAGTATGCCCGCGGCGAAAGGCACTGCAACCAAGAGGTTGCAGGCGGGAAGCCGCGGGCCTTGCCTCCGTGATCGTCAAAGGCGGTTCACCTCAGACCAGGAGGTGCCACGGGGGTCTCCCCGCGCCCAGGCCGCACCTCTTGGGCGAGGTGGCAGGGCACTGAAAGCCCTGGCCTGAAAGCTGCAACGGCGACGGCGGCGGCAGCAGGGCGGGGAGGGGGGGGGGCCACTCTCCGGCCCTGGAGCGCAAACAACGTCCACCCCGGAACTTAATCCAGGGCCGCGCCGCAACTCCCAAAGAGGAAAGGGGCGACGGACAGGACGACGAAGCGAGACACAAAGGACGACAACGAACAACCACGAACCTCCCGGAGGGGAGTGCCGCCCTCCGCACGTTCCTTCTCGCAACCGCGAGCGGGCGGGATAAGGAACGTGACGTCACTGGACTCACACCGCATTCAAGCGGTGCCACACGGAACCCGGGCTGCACCGCTTATCCGCGCTGGCGAGGCATTTGAAAATTGCCTCGGCCTGACGGCGAGGAGGAGGAGGAGGAGGGGGAGGAGGAAAAGAAGGAGGGGGTGGAGGAGAAGGAGGAACAGCAAAAGGAGGAGAAAGAGGAGGAGGAAAAGGCGAGGACCACAGTGCTCTATTCAAAGCGAGAACCCCACACAGGAGGGTTGAGAACAAACACAACAAAGCATCTAGATTGTTGACAAAGGGATTGCGCTTGAAAGAAACGTCGCCGCGCGCTTTCCTCTCGACGCGCGACACCACGGCTCGCCCACGGCAAGCCCTGCGCCCCGCGCCCGAGGAGACGCAACGCTCGCACCGCGACAAGCCGCTCGGCGAACTCGCCGCATCCGAGGCGGCGTCCGCCTGGGTGGCCGAGGCGCCCTCCCCGAAGACGTCAGGCCTCGCGTCGGCCTCCGGTGGCCCTTTCCGGGCCTCGGGGGCGTCAATTGACTCCGACGGAAAGACCCCAAATGAAAATCCTTTCGGCTAGTCTGGAAAAAACCTTCATTGTCGTCCTCGCGAGTACTGAGGCGCCCTTATTGTCTCTGCGTCACTCTCATTCTCGCCCTGGCGCAGGGCCCTCACCCGTTCCCCGCGTTGCCAATGCCTCGCCCTCCTGCTGTTTGTTTCGTCACCCACCACCTCCTCTCCTATCTAGTGCACGAGCGCGAGCGTCGATTTTCCTCGACGCCGTCGCCGCCTCGGCAAACGCGGGAGCAATCTTGAATGGCCGCGTCGCGCGGCCGTTGAAACAACCCCGCGGGCCAGGCCGTTGGGGCAACCGCGCGAACCGCTGGGGCGCGGGAGCAAGCCGTTGGGACAACCCCGCAGGCGCAGAGCTAGTCACGACCGCGCTGACGCCGGAGGCAACATGAAGCCAAGCTCTGCGACGAGGTTCCCGCCTGATGCTTTCCCCATACTCTGGCCTCAGGAGCCCTAAAGTGACGACTGCTACAAGTTCGAGGATGGATGACCCGCCCGGATAAAAAAAACACCAAAAAAAACATTAAATGCCGGCCCCATCGGGGGGGGGGGCTCCCGCCTGAGACTTCCTCACAATTCACTCACAGACGAGGCCCACGCCTGATATTTCCCCCCATTTTCAGGTCTCAGGAGCCCAGAAGCGATGACCGTTACAGGTTCGAGGGTGGCCCGCTCGCATTGAAAACGTGGAGCGCGGGCCCTATTGTGAGAGGGCTGCCGCCTGACACCTCCTCGCAATTCACTCACAGACGAAGCTCCCGCTTGATACTTTCCCCAATAGTCCGGCCACAGAAACCCAAAAGTGACGACAGTGACAAGTCCGACGATGACCCGCTCGGATTCAAAACGTAAAGTGTTGGCCCCATACGGAGGGGGCTCCCGCCTGAGACTTCCACTCGCAGACGAGTCTCCCGCCTGATATTCCCGCCCATACTCAGGCCTCAGGTGCCCAAAAGTGATGACTGCTACAAGTTCGAGGATGACCCGCCCCGATAAAACAAAAAACACACAACAAAAAACCTCGAATGCGGGACCCATCGGGGGGGGGGGGCTCCCGCCTGAGACTTCCTCACAATTCACTCACAAACGAGGTTCACGCCTGATGCTTCCCCCATTTTCAGGTCTCAGGAGCCCAGAAGTGACGACCGTTACAGGTTCGAGGGTGGCCCGGTCGGATCGAAGACGTGGAGCGCGGGCCCTATTGTGAGAAGGCTGCCGACTGACACCTCCTCGCAATTCACTCACAGACGAAGCTCCCGCTTGATACTTTCCCCAATAGTCCGGCCACAGAAACCCAAAAGAAACGACAGTGACAAGTCCGACGATGACCCGCTCGGATTAAAAACATAAAATGTTGGCCCCATACGGAGGGGGCTCCCGCCTGAGACTTCCACTCGCAGACGAGGCTCCCGCCTGATATTCCCGCACATGCAAGCCTCAGGTGCCCAAAAGTGATGACTGCTACAGGTTCGAAGATGACCCGCTCGTCTTAAAAACATAAAATGTGGGCCCCATAAGAGGGGGGGGGGCGCTCCCGCCTGAGACTTCCTCACAATTCACTCACAGGCGAGGCACACGCCTGATATTTCCCCCATTTTCAAGTCTCAGGAGCCCAAAAGTGACGACGGTTACAGGTTCCAGGGTGGCCCGCTCGGATTGAAAACGTGGAGCGCGGGCCCTATAGGGAGAGGGCTGCCGCCTGACACTTCCTCGCAATTCACTCACAGACGAGCCTCCCGCCTGATACTACATTTCCTCCATACTCCGGCCTCCTGAGCCAACAAAAGGAAGGAAAGTTACAGGTTCGAGGATGACCCGCTCGGACTCCTTACTCCGACGGAAAGACCCCAAATGAAAATAGTTTCGGCTACTTTGGAAATAGCCTTCACCGTCGTCCTCGCGTCATTACCATTCTCGCCTTGGCGCAAGGGCCTCACCCGTTCCCCGCGTTGCCCTTGCCTCGCCCTCCTGCTGTTTGTTTCGTCACCCGCCACTTCCTCTCCTGTCTATTGCGAAAGCGCGAGCGCCGATTTTCCTCGACGCCGCCGCCGCCTCGGCCAGCGCGGGCGCATTCTCGAATGGCCGCGTCGCGCGGCCGTCGGGACAATCCCGCGGGCCTTGGAGACAAGGTTTCCCCCTTGCCCCCGGTTCGGCCGAGGATGGGTTACCACCCCCGGCTTGGACGCAAGGGTTCCCCCCTGCGCCCGATCTGGCCGAAGATGGGTTCCCACCGCCAGCCCGGACGCAAGGGTTTCCCCCTGCCCCCGATTCGGATGACGATGGGTTATCACCGCCAGCCCAGAGACAAGGGTTTCCCCCTGCCCCCGCTTCGACCGAGGATGGGTTATCACCCCCGGCCCGGACGCAAGGGTTTCTCCCTGCGCCCAGCCGCCGTCGTCGTCCTCACCTCCTGTTCCTCCTCGTCCTCCTCACCTGATGGGTCGGGCGAATCGCCCTCTGAAGAGCGCATAGGGAGGGGGCTCCCGCCTGAGATTTCCGCACAGGCTCCCCGCCTGATACTTCATCCATAGTCGGGCCTCGGGAACCCCAAATGGACGACAATTGCAGGGTGGTTGAGGATGACCCGTTCGGAGTAAAAACATAAAGTGCGGGACCCATAGGGAGAGGACTCCCGCCTGAGACTTCCTCGCAATGTACTCACAGACGAGGCTCCTGTCTGATACTTCCCCCATATTCAGGCATCAGGTGCCCAAAAGTGACGACGGTTACAAGGTTGAGGATGACCCGCTCGGATTAAAAACGTGACATGAGGGCCCCAGAGGGAGAGGGCTCCCGCCTGAGAACTCGTCACAGTTCACTCACAGACGAGGCTCCCGCCTGATACTTTCCCCATATTCAAGCCACAGGAGCCCAAAAGTGATGACAGTTACAGGTTCGAGGATGACCCGCTCGGATTAAACGTATGGAGCGCGGGCCCCATAGGGAGACGGCTTCCGCATTATCTCCCGCCTGATGCTTTCCCCATGTTCGGGCCTCAGAAGCCCCACAGCGACGACGGTTACAGGTTCGCGGATGACCCGCTCGGGTAAATAAACATGCAGCGCGGGCCCCATAGGGAGAGGGCTCCTGATGATGAGTGAATGAGTGAGTGAATTAGTGAGTGAGTGAGTGGGTGATGATGCAGTGTGTGTTCTGGTTCCTGCGCGGGGTGCCTAGAGAAAACAAAACCTCCACTTTCGACGAGGGAAACAACATGAAGTGGGCGCATAGGGAGAGGACTACCGCCTGAGACTTCCTCGCAATGCACTCACAGACGAGCCTCCCGCCTGATACTTCCCCATGTTCAAACTAGCGAATGAGTGGGTGAGTGCGTGAGTGAATGACTGAATGAGTGATGATGATGAGGATGCTGCAGATGATGGGTGAGTGGGTGAGTGAGTGTTTGATCGAGTGGTGGTCAAGGTGATCAAGATGGTCGGTGTGTAAGTGAATTGTGATAAGTGTGTGTGGGTGATGGCGACGTGATGACTGAGTGAATGAATGATAATGAGTGTGTGAGTGACTGACTGAGTGAGTGAGTGACTGAGTGAGTGAGTAAGTGAGTGAGTGGGTGATGATGTCGTGTGCGTTCCTGTGTGATCCTGCGCGGGGTGTCCAGGAAAAAACATGGATGCGGGAAAAACGACTCAGGATGCAAAGCCGGTCATGGGGAAAGGGCCAGGACCTCTGGGGGTCGGCGTAATGAAAAATGATTCCGTCGGGGGTCTGGGGATCTGGGAGTCCCAAGAATTCCTACACTGAGATCCGACGTCTCGAACAACATCGGGAACAAAATCACGACTGGAGCCCTGGACCCACTCTATCTGCTACATGTTTCAATCCCAAACCCCCCACGTCATACTTGTTTCATGACGTGGACCTCAAGCGGTCTGGACTCCCACTCCCCGAAACCAGTTCTTCGCCCCGAATCGTTCCTTGACGGCCCCGAGGCCCTGTAAGGGCCCCTGGAGGCCGAAAATGGAGGAAAACCTGCCGTCGTGATTTGTTTCCTGGCCCGAGGGTGGCCTGGATCTCAGGGTGCCTTCAACGACCGGCCTATGCGTGCAGCCCGTCCTCGTACCTCTCGCGGCCGTGCTGCAGCGCCAGCCGGTGCAGCATCGCCCAGGTGGCCGCCCCGCGCCGCTGGGGCGGCAGCCTGCCGAGCAGCCCCAGGGCCCTGGCGGCGACCTCGTCGCCAGCGCTCGCCTGCTCCTCCACCTCCGGGGGGGGAGGGCGCCGTCCCAGGCACGTGGCGGGTTGCTCCGAAGGGTTTGGGCGACCCGTCCTGTTCTCCTCCTCCTCCTCCTCCCTCCTCCTCCTCCTCCTCCTCCTCCTCTTCCTCCTTCTCCTCCTCCTCCTCCTCCTCCATCTCCTCCTCCCCCTCCCCCTCTTCCTCCTCCTCCTCCTCTTCCTCCTCCCCCTCCTCCTCTTCCGCCTCCTCCTCCTCCTCCTCCTCGTCGGGTCGCCTACGGCCCCAGGGGAAACCGTGCACAGGCACGCCCGCGCCGAAACATGAATCAGGACGAACGGTTTCCCGTCGCTTTCGGCCTCTTGGGGCTCTCGCAAGGTTCCTGGATCTCGGGGAACCGGCTTAGGATTCAAAACACCAGCCTCGGGGAAGGGCTTGGAACTTCTGGGGGCCCCGCATCGCAAAAAAAAAAAAACATCGCAGGTCTGGTCTTCCTCCTCCTCCATCCTCCCTCCTCCCTCCTCCATCCTCCCTCCTCCATCCTCCTCCCTTCTCCTCGTTCCCCTCATCCCTCATCCCTCCTCCCCTCCTCTCTCCTCCCTCCTCCTTCCTCCCTCCTCTTCCTCCTCCTCCTCCTCCTCCTCCTCCTCCTCCTCCTCCTCCTCCAGGGGTGCGTTCTGACCAGACCTCTATTGTGATGCATTCTGGTCAGCATTCCATTTTTCCTGGAAAGGGTTGTGACCCAAGGCTCTCATTCAAACATAAATTGCTCCTGGTGGAAATTTCGCGTAGTGTCGGCACCTTTCCGCTTGATGAAGCACATGGTAAAGCCGCATGTGTGTTGATCCCGTGTGCACGCTCACGGAAAATGCGCCCCCTTCTCGGATCCTCATTGCCTAACGATGTCCACAGGCCCCCGCTTCTCTTCAAAGAAAGGCGCGGAGCGTTTTGCACAGGATCCCAACTAAATGACGAGGTTCGGAGACCCTGACAGTTTAAATAAAGAATCACATGATGTTGACTGTTGTGTGCCCGCTTGAGGACGGCGCGCCCTGCGCGCAGTTTTCTCGCGAATGTCTCGAGCTCCGCGCTTGTTTTGCAAAAATATTGTTGGCTGTCTGCGCCCTGCGTGCCGAATATCTGAAGATGTCTTGAACGGAACGCTTGTGTTGCATTGCTTGAAAGGCCTGCCTGGGCGCACCAGGATGCCCAGGTAGCTCTGGGGGTAGTGTCGGACCGTCATCCCACAAGCCCTCTGGGCGCAGATGGTCTAACGATGCCATTCTTCCCTCTTCCCAAAACCCTTCTTCCCCTTCGGGGAGGGGTTTGCCACTGTTCCCTATTGGTATACACCCCTTCCCCCAGACGACCGGCAGACAACCAGGAACAATGATAACCCCATGAAGCCCCCCCCCACGATCCTGGTCACATACCGATGCAAAATACACTTTGGGGCCAAAGTTCAGAGTCATGTTCGGGAGGCCCACGAGCACTTTGGATGTTGCCTTGTAAGGGACGGCGGGGGTGTCAGCACATTGCCTGTAGCGCCCAGATCACAAGAGAAAGCCCAGGCCCCCGACGTCATGATTGTTGTCATCACGTCGATCCCCAGAACTCTCCACTCATTCCCCGGGACAGGTTGCTCATCCTAACAAAATTGCGGACGGTCCCGAGGTCCGGAAATGGCCCCTGGAGACCGAGAACCGCCTCGGGAGGTCTTCGTTTTTGAGGATTCCCCCCCCCCTTGTTTCTCTCGGCGGGAAAAGAAACTCCACCCTTCTCCTCTTCCTCCTCCTGCTTCTGCTCCTTTTCCTCTTCTTTCTCCTCCTCCCCCCCTCCTGCTATTCCTCCTCCTTCACCCCCCCCCTCCAACTCTTCCTTTTCCTCCTCCCCCTCCTCTTCCTGCTGTTTCTCCTCGTCCTTCTCCTGCTCCTGCTCGTCTCATTCCTTCGGAAGCGTCGTCGTCGTTGCTGCGCGGCGTGCGCGGCGGAGAAATTATTATTTCCCACTCGTGGTGGGGCCCCAGTCCGTCCATACGGGGGTCGAAAGGTATGTGGTTGCCACCAATGAGGGGTCATGCAGACCTGTCTCGGTTAAAGAAAAACCTTCCGCCCTGATTATGCCACGACCCGAGGGGGTCTGGAAAACCAGTCCTCAGCAAAACGTGGACTTCCTAAAGCTGCGCGAGGGCCTCCCGCAGCGTCAGCGCCCGCGCCCGCTCCTGTCTGGGGAGACGCAAGACTTCGGAATCGGGGGACCTGCGTCGGCCTGCTGGGGCCATCACGAAAATGACGAGGCCCCGTCTGGAAGTTGACGCGAGCTCCAGCTGTAGACATCCCGCGAAACTGGACCTTCACAATCCAAGGTGCGCTCGTCAAAAACGCTAGGCGAGCCCGAGATCCGGCGCACCGTCGGCCCTGGGGCACAGAAGAACACCGTTCAAGAACATGGAAGACCCTCCGCCGGCCAGAACAAGTGGCACGTGTGCCATGGCCCTTGCACAAAAAAGGACGGGGAGGAGGAGGAGGAGGAGGAGGAGGAGGAGGAGGAGGAGGAGCACGGAAGACCCTCCGCCGGCCATAATAAAGTGCATTCAAGGGTACCCTCCCCCAGGATGCGCGAGTATCCAACAAGCACGAAGAACGTAGGGCACCCTCCCCGAACCGACCTCGATCTCGGTCCGACGGACGCCGGGTGGTTTCAGTCATGACTCGGCTCTCCGGTGGCCGTTCGGGACGATCCCAGCACCCCCAAAACGCGCGCTCTCAGCGAGGCGCAGCTGCTGGCAAGCATCCCGAGGCTGGCCGCCGAGCACCGGCGGAAAACGCCCGACCCGAGAACCTTGCGCCTCGAATCCGAGAGCCCGAACCCCAAACCCCGAACCTCGAGCCTCGGTCCGGCTGCACCCTTGAACCCCTGACGACGAGGAGGAGCCTTGGTCCGACTGTACTCGAGCTCTACTTGAGCAGGGACCGACCGTCCGGACATTCCTATAGTCATACCACGAAATGCTCTTAGAACCCAAAAATGTTCTAATAACAGAAACAGTCTTCTTAGAACGTAAACCTTTCGTGGGAACCACAAAAGGTTCTTAGAACATTGTTTGGTAGGGCTATAGGCGAGCCAGGACGCTTCGCCACTGCTTGACGAACCTCGAACCCGAACCTCGGTCCGACTGCACCCTTGAACCCCTGACGACGAGGAGGAGCCTTATGGTCCGACTGCACTCGAGCTTGACGTCTCCCTTCTCCACTCCCTCCTTTCCTTCTCCTCCTCCTCCTGCTCCTCCTCCTCCTCCTCCTCCTGATCCTGCGCCGCGAGCGCCCGCGGCCGCTGACCGCCGCCGGCCCGCTCGGGCTCCGCCCGCCCGGCGGAAGTGCCCGGCGCCGGCGCGGGCGCGGCCGCGCCGCCGAGGGGGGCGCCGCAGCCCGGGGCCTCTCGAGGGGCGGCGATGTCGGAGGAGCCCAGAGCCTTGGGTGGCTTTTCACGGGAGCTCCCAGTAATCATGCTGCTCTCGGTGAAAGCCAGAAACAAGGCCAAAGAAGGCGCGCTGCGGCGCCATAATTTGCCTTCCTTGGCTTTAATTAAATAACCTTAGATAGCAGCAGCATGTGGTTCCCAATTTGCCTTAGATGACCTTCCATCACATGGAATGGTTCGTCATGCGTTGATTTTGAGCTCGAACAAAATCACGACGGGAGGCTGTTCGTTCTTCTTCGGCCCCGGGGGGGCCCTCGCTGGGCCTCGGGGCCGTCAACAGAAAGACGGCGCGGGAGGAGGAACGGGTCCCGGAGAGTGGGTCGAGGCCTCTGGGCGTCGACGCTCTGAACAGAGCATGGCGTCGGGGGCCTGGGGACGCGGTCGAAACGTGTGGGTGTGCTTTTACCACGTCCCCTTGCCCGCTCCCCTGGGGTCTTCGTCGTCGTCGTCGGCGTCGTCGGCGTCGTCGTCGTCGGCGTCGGCGTCGGCGTCGGCGGATCCGACGCGGCCGATCACCTGCGGCGCCGCCAAGTTGGGCGCATCCCCCCTGTCCAGCACGCGAGTGCGTGTTTATCCGTATCCCCTACGGTGGGGGCATTGGATAAGTCCAGGGTCTGGAAGCCAGTGGAACTCCAATGGCGGACTGGCAGTGGGTATTACCGCCGCCCTCATCAAATAAGGAACCCTCCAGGGTCTGAAGCCCCCCGGACACATTCCTTAACCAACGCCCCCACGATATTCCCCAATCAGTGCTTGCACTGAAGGGGTCCTTGCGGATGTTGAAAAATTTGGCGAAAGTTCCCCGCCGATTTTGGTGGCAGGCTGGGTTCCCGGGTGCCCCGGTTCCCGGTTCCGGGTTCCCGGGTTCCCGGTTCCGGGTTCCGGGCCGATTTCGGAGGGCGGCGAGGTTCCCGGGTTCCTGGGTTCCTGGTCGATCTTCTTATCGATCGGTCTCACCATCGATCTCATTACCGACTTCTCGATCGATCTCACCATCGATCTCACAATCGATCTCACTATCAATCTCACAAGCGATCTCACTAGAGATCGCATGAGCGATCTCGCGATCGATCTCACTATCGATCTCATTGAATCGATTTCACTCTCGGTCTCACGATCGACCTTACAAGCGTCCTCACGATGGATCCCACGATCGATCTCATTACAGAGCTCACAATCGATCTCAAGATCCATAGTATCAATTTTCAAATCCTCCACTGCTTGGGGCTCTCTCAGGTGTAATCTGTCTTTTCTCCCGCTCGCGCCGAGGCCTCCGCTGGCGCCACCGGCACGGGCGCGGGCGCGGCGGGGCCGCCGCCGGGGAAGGCGATGCAGCCCAGGTCCTGTCGAGGGGCCGCGGCGGCGGCGCAGCCCCCCTATGAGGCCCCACGCGTGCTCGCGTCGTGACCAGAGTCCAGGGCGAAAACGGCTTCTGGCCGTGCGCGGCCCCTGGCAGGACGAAGCCAGGACGAGGCCAACATCGGGGGAGGATCGCTCGAGAATCTCTGAGATCCGGCGGCTCTGGAGCGGGCCGATTTCGGTGGGTTCTGGGTTCCCGGGCTCCCGGGTTCCCGGTCGATCTCCTCAGCGAAAACCATCCACTGATTGGGGGTTTTCTCTGGTGTCATTTTTCCGACGCGAACATGGCTGGTTTTCCTCCTCTGAGCGATCCCGTGGATGCGCGGCCGCCTGGAACCACGTGCCGCGCGGGGCATCCGCGAACCAAGCGCCCCGCGCCAACAGGGTCGCGGCCTCGCGGGGCACGGACCGCGAGGCCTCGGCTACACATGCCCGCCGGTCGGAAGAAGTGTTGTGGATGCCGTGACAATGGGCACTCTAGTTCACCGTTCTACTATTGAATTAAAAGGTACTTGTGCTCAAAACGTGATCGAAACATGGTTTACACAGGCTTCAGCACTTTAAGGACAGGTTTGAAACATGTTTTAGCCATCTGGGATTCATTTGGCAACATGCCTCCTCTCCATGGATCGTCTTCCACGACAGAAGCGGGCAGAAACATGACATCAGAAGGCGCTGACTCGCCATCGCTCGCACGTCGATCCCCCGTATTTTCGTTCGGCTTCTTGCGTGTATTTTCTTTGTTGCGCAAGGTGGCCCAGAAGGCTCTTCGATGGTCCCCGCCGAGAAGAGCGATGCGCGCGCACGAGAGGTGCCAAGGTGAAAGCAGACTTTGGCCACCGCCCGCCCCCTGAAGAGCAAGGGAGAGGGGAAGCCACCCGATCATGGAAGCGGGGAGGCGCCTAAAGCAGCTTTGGGATCTGGGAGTCCACAAAATATCTATGTTCCACGCACGCCGCGCACAACCTCGGTGCCGCCACGCGGAGCACCGCGCAGAACGAGTGGAGGGGCCTGGGGCTCTGGCCGTGCAGCCAAGACCGCACAGACGCAATTCCTCGAAGCTCCGCGCGGATCTGGTCGATCGGCGCTGGACCCCCTCCCGGAGCGCGCCAGGGGGGCCCAGCCCGCGAGGCCGCGGATACAGATACAGTTTGGTCGGGCATGTCCCCTGCAGGCGGATTGATGTTCGACCAAAAATCGCCCCAAGGTGGGGGCCGGGCGAGGCGCGGCACGAGCGAGGGCCCGTGCCCGGGGCGCGGACGCGTGGGGGGGCCGAGGGCCCTCGGAGCCTGCGGGCAGAGGGCGAAGAAGCTGCACGAGCAGAAACTCGCAAGGACCGACCACAACGGTGTTTACAACGCGCTGGCGTTCAGAACGAACCACGCGTTTAACCCGTAGGGGGCCACATGCGAACCCTACCCCGACCCCCCACGATTTCTGAGGCGGGGGGGTCACTTCGTTCGGGAGCTCCCGAGCGAGGTGAACCCCACCCTCCCCCTCAGAAATCGTGGGGGGTAGGGGTAGGGTTCGCATGTGGCCCGCTAACCCGACCGTTGCACAACGAACGTTTAAAACGAAATCGGCCCAAACGAGAACGAAGAACGACACGAAATCACCGATGGGAGAGAAAGCAGAACGTAAAACGAAACGGAATTCGCAGATCGCGCTAAAAAACAGAACTTGTGGACGTGTTCTTACTTGTCGTTTCGAGACTGGGCGGAAGGGGGGAGGGTCTGGCTCCGGACCTCTGCTTCGTGCGACTGTTTGCAACAGTGCGTCCTGTGGGAGAGACTCCATCCGGTGCGGCCACCTGCTGGCAAGCCCGTCTCTTCGTCGACGTGCCCACCGCAGGTGAACACAGCGCGGCGGTACAGTACAGGGTGCCCTGGGTTTCTCGGGTACCGACACTCTAGCGACGGGAAGCGCGACATTCCCACGCCAGAAATCAGTGGGCGTCATGGGTTCTCAGGGTTGGGTTTCGTGTGGACAATCTCTTGTGGACTGGCCTCCGCTGTACCGCCACGTCCGCCGCTCGGGTGGCAAACATGTCACGATGCCTCCGAAATGCGGGGCCGTCGACCTTCAGAGCCGGCCTTGCGGAACTGCCTCGCGGAGGGTGAACGCGGATACCATAACTGCGTGCTAGCATCCAGCAACCTGCGACTAGCGAGCTGGGGCGAAACGGGGAGACGGAGGAGAAAGGGAGAGGAACAGACAAGCAACACCGCTCCAACTACCACACCTTGGGAACCTTGCCAGGAAAACTGCAATTCAGGCTTCCACAGTTTGCCGGAGGTAAAATAGCAAGATGTGGCTGAAGGGGCCGATTTCGACATTGAACCAACGGGCTGCTCTGAACCAGCTTCGAGGGGAATGCGAGCGGCGGTGGCTGGCGATGGTGAAGGGGTGAGCTGAACCGTGGCCATGACGGCACAGCTGGACGGCCACACGGTCTGCTGGTTTCGAGCTGTGGCCCAGGAGTCAACATCGCACGAACGACTTAATTAGGTACAGTCGGGGCGTTGACCTAAGGAACCCTAAATAAGGAACGAGGCCCCTTTTTTCCACAAGTTAGACTTCGATTTCCGATCGAGAACATAAGGAAAACCTGAGGCAAGCTGTGAACCACTTAAGGAACACGGAGCCCCTCCCCAACGAAAAGGGTCCCTTCTTCAGGGCCCCGACTGTACCCCGTGACGCACAGTGATATTTCAACGCGCAGGAAACTCAGGGTCAGCATCAAGCACACAAGGCTCGAACAGATCATGGTGTGCAGGTGGCTCTATAATCCCACGCCGTACCGCGAGGAACTCCGGACACAAATGATGCACAGGCGAAGGACGATCATGTAGTGCTTGCCCGTCTGGTAGCTGGCAAGGGGGCTAAGCAGACGAGACTACAAGAAGAAACAACGGCATACACTTAGACTTTTAGCGCTCCGCGCGGATTTCTTGGGCCTGCGCTGGACACCCCTCCCTGGCGCGCGGAGCGCGCCCAGGGGCGGCGCCAGAGGCGCCGCCGGGGGGCCCCAGCGCAGATCCAAGAACTCTGCGCGGACCATCGAAAGTGTCTGGGTATTCCACATGCTGAATTAATCGACCCCCGTAAAACCGGACCCCCCTCCAAATGCGAACTAATATTCCAGACCCCCCTCTTCCTTCGACGGGGCGCCTTAATAAACCGAGCCACCTAAGCTCCAATCCAAAGAAGGCGCCCTAATAAACCGGACCCCTCCAGTTACAAAAAAGGCGCCCTAAAAAACCGGACCCGGGGGACGAGTCATGAGGGATTTTTGGAGCAGGTCGTTCTTTCTTCTTCGAGTCTGGCAGCTCGCGACGGGGGCTAAGCACGCGAGAGTGGCACGGTCGGTGAGCCCAGGATTGAGCAGGGACCGACCGCCCCGGCAGTCTTATAGGCCTACCACGAAATGTTCCAGGAAGGCTCAAGAACCGAACCGATTCGGCCGAACCGAACCGGGCCGAACCGAACCAGCGCGAACCGCACTGTTTATCAACAGGAACAGAACCGCACCGATCTAAAACTGCTCCAAAGAGCAAGGACCATGTTCTTAGAACAGAACGCCGATGCGTCAACACACGACGGTCCCGACCAGAAATGATCTGAGAACCTCTCGTCGAAACCACCGAAAAGGTTCTCAGAACAGGGCTTGGTAGCCCTGTAGGCTTATGTCGGGCGTGTCCCCCTACAGGGGGATTTTCGACGAAAAATGAAAATACCCACAAAATACTCCCCAAAAAGACAAACAAATACTGAAAAGATAGTCCCCCGACTATTTTTGGACCTTTTTTTTTGCTTATCTTGGGGGTATCTCTTATGTCTCGTCGGAAATCCCCCTGTAGGGGGACAGGCCCGACTTAACTGTAGGCGAGCCCGGGCACCTCACCACTGGTGGGAGCGCAGGAGGGCCCTCGGCGCGCCCGAGACGCCAGGAGAACGGTGCGCGCGGCGTCGGCAGGCCGCGCGCCCGGGGGGCGGAGGGAACCCCCGGTGGCAGATCGGGGGCGGGCGACGCAGATAAAACGTACACAAATAGAAATACACACAGGAGACACAAACAAATATGCACAAAGATTGAAGGGGCCCCAGGATACACAGATAAAGATATTCCCCATGATTTCCCCATATTTTTGTGGGGTTTTCGTCTTCCCCGCACTTTCCATATTTTCCCATATTTTCTGGGGAATCGACGATTCATTGTGTCTGTGTGTTTCTTTCCCTCCTGAGACGTGCCTGCTCGGCGCAGCCGGCAGGAGCAAAGGGAGCGCAAGG